AATGGAGAGTCCCCAGTTTTTTAACCCGGAGGTGGGTTTTTCCAGCCAATAATTCCTTATGTTCAATACTTTACAAAGCTTCATTTATCACCTTTGTTGGAGTTAAAATTGTAAGGTTTGCTAGTATTGTCACTTTTTTAACCAAGTGAACTTAACTCAAGTACTAAGACTAAAACTTATCTGAAGTTCACTTCGTTAAGTTTTAACCTTTGAAGTTTGTTTGGTTTATATGCTTGTGGGCTTCTAACAATCTGTACTCAGTTGACTAGTACGGTTGACTAGTCAGTACAATTGGTTTTAAGTTTTTTTTTTTTTTTTTTTTTTTTTTTTTTTTGTAGGGTATTCCACCTAGTACCAATTTCAACTTACATTGCACCTGCAAACTTGGTCATGTTGCATCTATACTAGAGGTATTCCTTATTCTTTTTAACTTCTTTTTTCTTAGTTGTACTCTTCTTTGTAAGTGTTTTTGTTTTTTCCATCTGCAACAATGAAAATTGTTAGGACACTATTTCTTGAACTGTAACAAAATAACGCATGTTATTTCTGGAACTATGCTACATAAACTCACATTATTTATGAAATGAACCAAAATAACCCACAATGTGTCTTGGAAGGTAAGAAAATAAACTCTATTTGTGGAATTATATCAAACTAACCAACACTATTTTTTTGAATGTGAACCAAAGTCACTCACACTATTTTTGTAACGACTACGAAAAAACTCACAGTATTTATGAAAGGGAGCAAAATATTTAACCCACACTGTTTATGAAATATCCAACACTATTTATAAGGAAAGGGAGTAAAACCAAGGGGTGTGCTATCCACACACCCCTTTTTAGTTCTCCCACACCCCTTGTTAATTTCTGTCTTTGATCTTCTTTAATTAATCCGATCCGACGGCCAAAAATTAAAAGGGTGTGAGAGAAGTAAAAAGGGGTGTGTGGATATCACACCCCTAAAACCAAACCAAAACAACCCACATTGTTTATGAAAGGGAGCAAATCAACATTAGTCCGTGAAGTACAACAAAATATCCCACACTTTTTATGATCATAAATTAACATAACGCACACTATTTCTCGAGCTAGAACAACAAACCAATAGTATTTCTGGAATTACAGCAGAATAACCCATATTATTTTGTGAAATTGATAAAAAAAAAAAAAACATCCTAATATTTATGATAGGTAACAAAATAAACATTGTTTCTGGATCTAGAACAATATAACCCACACTGTTTATGAAATATCCCACACTACTTATATGGAAAGGGAGTAAAACTAAACCAAAACAGGGCATTATCCAAATGAAGTCGAAGTTAATCTGCCGCATGAGTGTGTCATGTTATTTTGATGGCCTGCAACATTATTCACCTAAAATTGCTCATATCTTTGCAAACTATTATTTGAAGAGAATGTTGCTAATCGTTCTGAATAGTTTTATGAATTCTGAGAAGAGTTGCATTATTCATTCAAAAGTTGCTAATTATGAGCTCGTTTGGATGTGCTTTTAAAATGATTGAAAACACTTTAAAACAATATTTAGTAAAAATGTTAGTAAATCCTGGAAAAGCACTTAAAGTGCTTCATGGGAGAATCACATAACTCGTGCTTCTTATAGAAAGCACTTAAAGCGCTTTTGGAGCCTGAAAATATTTTCTCTAAAAGCACTTTCAGTCATTTTAAAAGCACATTCAAACAAGCCCTAATTCAACACAGAAGAGACATGCCGCATAGTTCCATTGGCTAAAATAGATTTACTCTTCATGTGCAACCAAATTAGAATGGTTTATTACCCTAGTTTAGACTAGTTTAATCACTTGTACATAAAACAGGAAAAAAATAAATCAATCCAATTGTGTTCTAAACGATATTCATCAAAATTATTGGGAGAATTTAAACTTTGATGCAAAGAGCAAAGCACATTCTTCCAACCAACTTAACTAAACTCAAGTGTGCACACTGTGATTCGACAAAAAAAAAAAAATGTGCACATTGTGTTTGGTAGTTTTTGTCTTTGTTTATTTTTCCTTTTCCTTGTATTATAACACGTGAAGTATTGCTTGATTAACTTACGCTTAGAAAAATCTCTCTCCTTTATGATAGAATTTATTAAATCACTTGAATAAGAAAACAATATTGTTTGTATTATACTTCGCTAACCTCGAAACTACCGAGCACCTGTCAACTTTATACTTTCGAAGAATTACTAAAGAATTCATGGTGAGGTACCTATATATACTAAAACACATGAGTTCCTCTTCAATCAAGAGACCAATAGTCACAACATGACACGTGTCGTCACTATAATAAAGCTCCTAGAGTCCTCCATCGACTGCGGACGAAAACATGGGACTCTCCGCGGCTATAAAAGAAGATCATTATCCCACTATTAATCTCTAATGCTATTATTCTACTTAATCAATTATTGGAACTCGCTCATAATATTATACTTAGAGGGTCTAGTCAATTTGGATTTTGAAGAATTTCAAAAAAAAACTTTTTTTAAATGGCAGATTTCAAAGGATTTTAATAGACTCTACAATTCTATATGGATTTTGACAGATTTAGATAGATTTCTATTGTAGATTTGTATGGATTTCTTAGGATTTTTTAGTTGACTTCTACAACATCAAATGAATTTCTTTATCAATGCACAATTTGACAAAAAAATTAAACATAACATAAGCATACATATATTGATATAGAAATACAAACCAATCAAATATGTCTTTCCCCTTCTCATTTGAATTATAATTAAAAAAAATCAACTAACCAAAACAAAGATCACTTGACTCATAACCACCTGCAATCAATCACGTGATTAAACTTGAAAATAATAATTTCAACTCACAAAATTAAAATAAGGAATCGAAGCCATTCAAATCTTTTGTATAAACCAAAAGCAACATCACAATTGAATTTTAAAATCTAATACAACACGCACACACACACACACAAAAGGCAAGTCAAAGAATACATTGTCTATATTCTGGGTTTTGTCCCATCCATTCTCTGTGAGCTGTTGCTCTTCATATTCTGGATGTTGTCCCATTCAAATAATACGTTGGATTGGAATTGTATATGATAGAAATGCAATTAGATTTTACAATTGTACATGACAGAATGTCAGTGGGTGTGTTGCTGGGGATGAGGGGTGATAAAAGATTGTTCATCTTCTGCAAAGAGGATTCTTTGGTCTATAAAAGAAATCCTAGGGGTGAAGGTTGGATTGTTGAAAGCATTTGGTACTTTACTTATACACCTTCCCTCAAATGCATCAAAATCTCTCACCCATTAAAATCCTAGCAAATCTTTCATATTCTCACTACACCTAGAATGTGTGGACTTTTTAAAATCCTAATTGACTACCGTTGGATTTGGATGTATTCTTTAAAATCTTCTCAAATCCTAACTTGACTACACAATGATTTCAGAATCTTTTAAAATCCTCTTTCAGAATTATAATTGACTACACCCAGATTTTAAAGTCTATTAAAATCATATCAAATCCTAATTTGACTATACCCCCCTTAAACCTTTGTATCATGTAAACTTTACAATATCAATGGGAATTCCTCTACCCTCGTGAACGTAGTTCAACTTAAGGTGAACTAGGTACATCATGTGTTTGTTTTCCTACTTCTATCTCTTTACATACTACCCATACTTGATGACCAAAGCAACCTTGCGAAGGTTATAACTTGACACTTGATATTGTTCGAGAGTCGACCTGGTTTTGTGCATCAATATTTGGCACTGTTTATGGGAACGACACTGACTCCTACTCTTACCAGCTTTGTCAAGCTTATTTCCATCTTTTGTACACTTTCTTACGATCAGGCATCCATCTCCAATATGAGGAGTGAGGGGAGTCACAATGTGACATCCCATCCCGAGATTTATTGTATTTTATTCTTAGTAGTAATGAAATTATCAAAATACCGCCAAGATGCCACGTAGGCCTTCCACATGGACTTCAAATTTTCCTTTCACTTTTTCAATTTTATTTTACTATTTTAATAGTACTCATTTTTACAAACACGTGGCCACAAACGGAACTCAATTCGGAGTTATAACGAACAAGTTATAATCGAAAAGTCAACATTAGTCCATGAACGAACAAGTTATAAACACTTATCGATCTAGAACAATATAACCAACACTAATTGTGGATTTGAACAAAAAATAAAACGCAAAATCCCAAAGTTATACATGAAACTTAAGAAAAGTAGGAAACACACAGAATTTTAGTTTCGAAAAAAATTGAGTAGTTATCAAACTGTAGTAAAAACAAAATTAATCATTGTTTAGAGTTTTCTAAAGAAGAATTGAAAGGTTTATGGAATCACAAACATGAAACATATATATTATTGTATTTTTGAAGTGAGAATTTAACAAGGATGCGAGTTTAGTACCTCTTGTTCGTCTAGAATTTGTTATTTTTCTGAGATTTTGATTGCGGATTCTTCTGCCATTGTGCGTAGATTCTTCTACTTGCTGCTTGTAGAAAATGGTTGGTGTTCTATCATTAATGGCGGTGGAGGGCCTGATTGAATTTTGTAATTGTCATTCTGGCTAACGGGCTTGGGTTAGCTTCGTTACGGCAATTTTGGAATAACAATTTTTATGCGGGTTGGACTTTTTATGGAACCCGTGTTTTTAGTTTTTGTAGGGTTCAACATATCGATAATTTGTTCTTATGGTTAAAACTTAAGCCTTTTTATTAAATAATAGTTTATGATGGTTTTTGGTTAAATGAAAGTTAGTCAAAGCCTTTTTCATTAAAGCTTTCGTAGTAATTTGGAAGACTGACTCTTTGGCAGTCGTTATCGGTAATGCAGGAGCAATAAGGTGCGGTGTAAATTTGTGTGTTTGACATTTTGGTTTTGGGCTAGAGAATAAACCGATAGGTGTTTTTGGGTCCCTTGTTAGGCAGCGGACATATGAAATGAGCGTACAGAGTTGGAAAATCAAAGACTGAGATGAGATGTGTTGGATTATGCAAGAAAATCCACAAACGCTTTATCATTTGTGACCATTCAGACTAAGTAACAAGCACTGCATACATTTTTGTCACACCACCAAATAGATCGACATCATCGCATTACATTTGATACACACCTACTTATTGCATTAATTATAATGCTCATGTATTAATTAACATATTTAACAAACAAACTTATTCCAAATGACCTATTTGGCTTTCTAAATGAAAAGTGCATTAGAATCCCACATGCCCATTGTAAGGTATAGGTATAACCTTCAAAGGGACAGATTTTCTCAGTGTTATTCCCATCCTTTCAGTCATATCAATGTTCTCTGGCTTAAGCCCGCTCGGCAAAACCCAATCAAACGAGTGTAAGAGCGACCCTAGAGCCAAAGGGAGTACCCTAGAGACTAGTGGCACTGCAGGGCATATCCGACGACCAGAACCAAACGGTATGAACTCAAAATTGTGTCCTTTATAATCGACCATGTCGGGCTTCAAGAACCTCTCCGGCTTGTAAAGCAAAGGGTCTTCCCATGCCTTTGGGTCACGTCCAATGGCCCAAGCATTGACTAGAATTTGAGTGTCTTTCGGAATGTGGTGCCCTAGCATTTTGCAGGACTCCATGGCCATGTGTGGGACTAAGAAAGGGAGAGGTGGGTGGAGTCTTAGGGTTTCTTTGATGACTGATTTGAGGTATGGGAGATTTTCAATGTCTTTCTCTTGGAGCTTGTTGCCTGGAGATATGTTGCTTCTTAGCTCGGCTTGAGCTTTCTTTAGGGCTTTGGGGCTGGTTAGAAGCTCAGCCATTGCCCACTCTAAGGTGCTTGTAGTTGTGTCAGTTCCAGCAGTGAACATCTCCTGAAATAATATCAAATTATTTTCACAGAAATTGAGCCTCAAAATAAGAGATTCTGAATTGGAATCATCCTCCCTCATTAATTAAAACAACTATTGGTAAGGCACATGAGCACATACCTATGTAGGAACATATTATAGTGCTGAAACACTGTCACGTAATATACATAACTAATTTATTTCATACACGTAACATGCATGAACAACATGTTTACCCTTAGTATATAATATTAATAATAAATTAATCAGCATGTTATAGCATTGATGCATCTGTTAGTACCACATCGTGTTACTCTTATAGTACTCTTATTTTATTTTTTCATTACAAAAAAAAGTAACTGGTAGTAAGCTACGGTTATCCACCTCTTCCAAATTGCATTACACACATAGAAAGGGTCTTACAAAGACAATGACGTTGATGGTTCTTGGAGAAGTGAACCTAGAGGCCTCATCAACTCCATCACCACGGTACTCCAAAAGCACATCCAAAAAGTCCTTTGCTTTCTCTATGCCATCACATCCACCATTCTCCGTGCTCTCCATTCTTTCTTTGATAAACTCACCTGCAATTTCAAAGGCCTTTTCCACGTGGAATTGGGTGTTTCTCCTAATGCCTTGCGGGTCGAGCCACCGCAAAATTGGAAAGAAATCTGCCATATTAGGTTTCCCAGCCAACTCCATAACTTTACCTGCATGGTAAAAAAACATAGCCCCTCTCTCCGACTTTGGGTCCAATAGATCTTTGGAAAAGATGAGGTTCCCGATCAGATTAAAGGCCATCAAGAAAATGAACCTGCCCAGATCAATGCCATCAGTACTGGCACTAATTTCTGACGACGTCCTACTAGAGGCGTCCATTATGAATTGGAGCATTCCATCGATACACTTTCCACGAACACCGCGCATGGCATCGAGACGACTTGTCACGAAAAACTCTGTTGTGCACAAGCGCCTCAACATGCGCCAGTGCGGGCCATACTGGGCCGTGATCAGTGAGCCCTCGTTGCCATAGTCGCCCTTCATTGCCTCGTAAATTTTTCGACCGGCTAGGGCCACATCGTGGTTCTTGAACATTTCACGGGCCACTTGGCTGGACGAGATCACCACGGTGCTCATGGATCCTAGCCAGAGTGTCATAATAGGGCCGTGGTTGCGAGCCAACACAGCTAATGACTCGTGGGGTGGACCCAGACCCAGTTGAAATATGTTGCCCACCACAGGCCACCGTCTCGGCCCAGGTGGAAGCTGTCCGGCAACATCCTCTGAACGCCACCGTCGGAGTTGGCGTGCCAATAATAATATTGCAGTTGCAACCCATATCAAAACCACCCATGTGGTTAAATCCACCACCTCGATGTGCTCCATTTTTTTGTTTATCTTTTTCAATTGTGTGTTGGTCAGTGGGAGAATTTCTATTTCAATTTTTTTGTTTTCTTTTCTTTTCCTTGCACGTTATCTCAGTGAGACAGTGTTTCTGTTATATAGTTTCTGCTTCGGTTACGTGACAAATCCAAGCAACCTACTAGCATATGAGAAAACTTGTCCTTTTTCATGAGAAGAATCTTAAATAATTTTCTATAAAACCTAATGTAATTGGATAATATATAATACTGTACGTATCTTGAAGTAATATCTCCATTTCACTGAACAAGTTATTTAAAATTCATACAATTAATAAAGCTAAACCGGTTAATCATATAAGCATTTTACTGCGAGCACAAATTTCTTCGTTAGAATATTACATTTGTTAGATTTTTGTTGTAACCTAATAACTTTTGGCAGAAACTACACAGCTAATTAAGAAGTTAATTAACATCAGAATAATGAACAAGAAAGATGCATGTGTGTTCTTGTACTCAGTGGCAAAGTCAAGACTCGTTGGGTGGAGGGGCGTAAGTTTGTGAGTCTTGGAGTTTTACACTTTGATTTTTCGAGTGTGAAATGCCTCTATTGGACTAAGTGGAATCCTACGTAGACATTTGAGCTCACTTTATATTTGGTCTCCTTTCTTGCCATAATCTTATAGTACTCGTCACCACAAACGTATGAGTGCAAGCAAAACATAATTTAGATTTAAAACAAAAAGCTAGAGAGTCCTAACGACTCACTTGACACTTGTATTCCTTGCTTCTTAATTAACATTTTAGTTTTTCATATTTGCCCCTCGATTCAGCCTCATGTGCGTTATATGTGACTCATTTTGATGGAAGTTCTAACAAAGTTGATGAAAAGGACAACAACTGCACGTTTTAAGGAGTTAAGGGACCAATGGTCATGGATTTTTAGTTGAGGGATCATTACTCCAATTGGTCCAATTTGGTTAAAGTTGAGAGACTATTCCGACAATTTCCTCTTAAACTACCATTCATAGCCTCACTTCTTACCTAGATACTTTATCTTTCCTGACCATCTCATTTTAAATTATTTTGTTAGAAATTCTACAATAAAAAGGGATTTTAACTGTTAAACTATAAAATGAGAGTCACATCTACAAAATCTGCAGAAGTTGGTCCTCCCATGGCAGCCCATTCCCCATTCGATATCTCCTTAATCAAGGGGACAGATTCAATTCGTCTAGGTGTGAGTATACTGGGGGACGAGTCTTCCCCTGCTATTTAGTTTTTTAATTTATTCTCTTTGAAATAAAACAACGTCATTTACCTTTTTCATTTAAATTTTCCTTTTTCCCCATCCAAACAATGTTGTTTGGCCTAGGCTTAAAAGAAAAAGAAAAAAGAACGCAATAGCGTCGCTGCAGAAAGCCAACGCAGCACCAGAGCAAGAAGACCAAAGAAGAGGGGCGGAAACCTAAGTTGTAGGAACAATCTCTGCGAGTGGAGGGCAACCGCCCCTCCTTGCCTCTCTGCGGCTTCGCCACTGCATGTACTTCTATAGAATGGTATTGATTATGCATGTTTATATATGCATATAGATTATGCGTATACATTGATTTTCAATTACAAAGGACCATTATGATCTTTTAACAAACGATATTAGCGACGAAATAATCAAACACAAGAACTCAGATATAATGATACATGATTTTTACACTTGAACTTAAAACTCTTTATGCAAATCATTACGAATTTATGATTGTATCACAACACGTCAAGGTCAATAGAAATTAAAATGATAGATTTCCTTGTTAATACAAGCAATATTATTTTCATAATTTAAACTATATATTAATGAAACTCTTTTTGTCAACCAAAAGAGGGTGAAAAGATTTTTTTTGTCTTCTACCATAACAAAAAAGTTAAGGACAATAATGTAATTTTACAAAATAATTTTTTGCTGTTTTTTGTTTAAACCTCACCTACATATGATTGTATCCGGTCTAATTTATAAAAATAAAAAATAAACTTTTGTCCCTCTCTCCCCACTCCCACTTCTCTCTCACTCTATTTATTTTTTTATAGCCCACTCCCACTTATTAGTGTAGATATTGATTGTTTAAAAAAAAATGTAAAATATTTCACACGTGCTTTGCGTGTGGACATGTACTAGTGTACACTAAGGAAAGGAAAAGGGTTTAAACTTGTGACACGATGGGTAACTTTAATCACCAAGACAATACATACATAGAAAAAAAATTCAACATTAATAAAGATTGTTGTCATTAAATAGTGATTATATGGTAATTGTGTTAAGTAACTAGCATAAGTCAAACAGATTGCGAGTGGGGTTTGGGACCACCGTACAATTGTACTATGCTATATATATAATAAAGCCTTTTCATTTCGCCAATATTGAAAGAGAGTGCATCGTCTTAGTATGTAAATAAAAATAACTATTTGATTTAAGATCGTTTTTTTTTTGTCACTTAATATTATAGTCTAGTAGTATTCATCTTTATTTGTAAGTAAGAGATATTACGTTTGATTCTTGCTAAAGACAAATTTGAATCACATTAATACTAACATATTATGAGGCTAAATTCACTCCTTTTCCTTAGTACAAATAATATCGTTTGTGAAAATAAAAAATATCGTATTCTTTTGTTTAGTGTAAATGAATTGATCTTATCTATTACATCCCACATCACTCAGGGAAGTGAATCATCTAAGTCTTATATGTATATTCTCATCCCTACCTAGCACGAGGCCTTTTGGGAGCTCACTGACTTCAGGTTCCATCGGAATTTCTCGTGTGAGTTCCTAGAAACAAAACTGTGAAGGTGTGGTATGGGCCCAAAACGGACAATATCGTGCTACGGTGGAGTCGAGCCCGAGCTGTGGTGGGGGCCCAGGCCGGTATGTGACAATTTGGTATCAGAGCCAATCCCTGGCCAGAAGTGTGCCGACGTCGGGCCCCTAAGGGATGGATTGTTACATCCCACATCGTCCAGGGAGTGGATCCTCTAACTAAGCCTTAGATGTATATTCTCATCTTTATCTAGCATGAGGCATTTTGGGAGCTCACTGGCTTCGAGTTCCATTGGAACTCCGAAGTTAAACGAGTTTGTAACGAGAGCAATCTTAGGATGGGTGACCCACCGGGAAGTTCTCGTGTGAGTTCCCAAAAATTAAACCGTGAGGGCGTGGTTGAGGCTCAAAACGAACAATATCGTACTACAGTGGAATCGAGCCCGAAATGTGACATTATCCTTATGTCCCTCTTTTTTGCTTTGCCAATAATTTTTTTTTCTTTTAGATATGAATTTGACAAAGCCATGAAGGAAACGGCCTTTACAGCTCAGCTGGTCCCCTTCGTTAATTCACCTAATCTTTTCTTTTTTGCTTAAACTTAATTCACCTAATCTTGGCGTATGTAATGAACCTTTTGTTTTTTCCATTAATCTTCAACTGTATGCTTACTTCATTTCTTATGTATCATATTACATAGTCCAGCATAAAGAATAACATTATTGGATTATTGAGTTAAATTATTAGTTGTTAAGAAAAAATTAGAACGAGAGAGTATTAAAGCCACACCAGGGTGTATTATTTTGCACTAATTGTTCCCCATAAATCCAGTTCGGTACTTTTTTTTTTTATAAAAATATTTCAGTACTTTGTCCTTAATTATTACGGATGTCTTAATCATACTTAAGTCACGGATGATGATAATATTTTTCCTTTCATAAAAGTCTCCATAACACTGTCACTTAGTATTATAGTCTAGTGATATTTCTTTTCACATGTAAGTAAGAGGTCTTAAGTTCGTTCTCGCCAAGACGAATTTAAACCATATTATTGCTAGTCCATTATGAGAGGAAGTTCATCACCTTTTAGTGTAACGAATATCGTTTGTTAAAAAAAAAAAACACTATTAGAAATACTGTAATCATCCTTACTTTCACATCCACACGATACACGCGTGAGGGGAAAACATGAGTTTTAGGCTTTATCTAAATTACTATGTCATCATCCCTACCTTCACATCCACACGATACACGCCTGAGAGGAAAACATGACTTTGAGGTTTATGATAATGTATAGAATAAGAAGTGTATTAATGTATATTTACCTTTCCCTACCTAGGAATAATGTGGTTCAAATTTATTTTTAGCGAGAATCGAACTTAAGACCTTTCACTTACAAGTGAAGAAGAATATCATTAGATCGTAATACTAAGTGACATCATTAATTAGATTTCAAATAGGATAGAATGTGGCTCCATCACGCAATAATTTCAAGTGTGGATTTTCATTGAATTGTTTAGAAATATGACTCCTTAGAGCATCTCCAATGGAGATGCCAAAAAAATGTCAAAAATAAATTTAAAAGCTGATGTGGCAATGTCAAATTTTCTTTTACTTCAACCCATATGTTTTTTCTTAATCAATTAATATTTGTAGAACCCACTCTTCAAAAAAATAAATAAAAACTAATTTTAATGATTTATGATTGGCGCATTATTAGGACCCACACAACAAAACACTGAAAAAATAATTGGACATCAGATTTTCTCATATGTTAAAATTGGCAGCACATAATAGATATGTCAATCCACATAGAATTGGCATATCGGTTGGGGATGGTCTTAGAGGCTTTATCCAAAGGAGGACTCGTTGTGGGGCTTGTTGGACCCAAATTTGTGCACCGCCGTGTGTGGATAAAGTGCTTAAACTCAACCGCCTATAAAACAGTAAACAAACTGTGGGTGGGGGTGTGTTCTTGCCAAAGGCTCTCCAATGGTCAAGTTAGGGAATTAGACTCAAGCAGTGGATAAGAGAATTCAAGTGTGTTTAAATTATGTTACCAAAGATGAACCCTAGACGGGTGTATTTATACAGTGGGGAGATAGACCTTTTTATGATAGAATCCTCATTTTAAGCTGAGAGAATCCTAGGTTGTAGGAATTCTAAGACTTAAAGGATGTGTCCATATCCAGGTCAAATCACGTGTCTTGCGAACAAGCATGGTCATCCAGCAGAGTCGGTAGGACTCCACCTATTACCTTGGAATAGGGTGATGGTGGCACCGGTACTTTGTCTGATCTAGCTCCGTCCAAAGCTGG